AGAGAGAGAGAGAGAGAGAGAGAGAGAGAGAGAGAGAGAGAGAGAGAGAGAGAGAGAGAGAGAGCACTTCTTTTTGAAGGATGCTGTTGTCATATCTGGTGTTGATATGGATGGATATGGCCTTGGCAGGCCAGCACCAGAGTGAAATCGACATAGAGGGCGACATTGAGTTCTGGCAAGGTGGTGCGAGTGGAGGGAGAGATTGCAAGTAATCGAAGATAAGGGTGGGGGTGACAATGTGAGGTGGCGCTTGAGGAGTAGAACCTGGAGGAAGAAGAGGGAAGAAGAGACTTGACCATTGTATTTGTTGATTACATTCTCGAGCTAGGCCTGTACTTCACCCTGGCGTCAGGTTCATCACCCTTCCAGACTACTACACAGTATCTGTTTCCAGTGGAGTTCGAACTCAGGTCTGTACTTCAACAATTCAAGGGTGTACCCACTGAGCTGGGCCAGTTGGTACAGTATCTACCACTGCAAGGAAGATGAGCGATAGCGAATTTCAGAAATCAAACAGCATCATACACATGAGACCAGATAGTTGTGACCTCGAACCAAAAGCAGAATTGCATCACGAGTTTCACCAAATAAGAACACAGCAGAAGCTCATAATTGACAATGCTGGAATAGTCTCATCATCATCAACAAAGAACCAAAGTCGGTATCCTATCTGGCGCTCGGCGCCCAGACTACGAATGGCATATCCTATCTAGCCTACTCTACAATGCCGCCGGAAGACGTCAACAGCTTCACCAAAGTACGAGCAGATCTCGGACAATGTGGTCGCCTCAAGCACCAGGTATGTCTCTCGTATCACTCACAACCTCGTTCCCCAACTCACAGATGCCGCATGCACCCAAGGACCACCATGCGCCCATCCAGCTTACAGCAGCGCAGCTCGGCTATGGCTGCCTGCTCCTTCCAGCTCGCCCGTGAGCGCGTGAGCCTGGCAGGCGATAGCGGAGCAGCGCTTGCGCACAAAGCAGCCAGTGCCCGAATACCTCCAGCGTGGGCTGGCCCTTTCCTATATGGAAAATGGCCAGCCTGCGTGCGTGCAGCCTGGCTGTGCTGGGCCTCTGCCCAGAAGCTTCCGGTAGGCCCAAGGAGGCTGAGCCTCAGACCAAACGAATTGGCCCAGGGCCATGGACAGTTACCTGTGCCCAACTGCCCACAGCCTCAGTTGGGCCTATGCTGCGAATCTCGGCCAGGGCCTGACTCAGATGCATTTGATAAAAGGAACCAGGGCCTGGGCGCGTCCAACCAACTGGCGCTGCGCAACTGCCTGAATTTTCCCCAGTTGCGAAGCAGTCCAAAATAGGCCTCTTAAGGTCCGTCGGGCCTGCCTTCACTTAGGGCGGCCGACGCTGTTGCAAATAGGGGCCCAGTTGGGCTTATCAAGGCCTTGTGCCTCGCATTCCCTCCTCTATACTTCGCTAGTCCTCTGAGAAGTTCAGTCTTCGATAATCTGGCGCTTTCCTTTCCGTAGAGACTTCTCATACTGAGCGACTACCTGTGGAGCGGTCTGCATCAGTTCCTCCCTTGTGAACCATCTGTCCTCCTTTGGATCAGTGTGATGTCTGAACCGAACTCGATACTGCAGCTTCGGTTTTGGAGGACATCCTCTGCCTGTTGGTCTTGGAACCGGCATTTCCCTGTGGTCAATGATGTCGTCAATGTCGACCTCTCCATCCATGGTTGGGGGCAGCATAGAGCGATGAGAGAGAAACTGGTCAGTTTCTTTGAATGGGGCAAGTTAAGAAGCGTGAAAAACAGGGTACGTACGTAAGTGACCAGGGATGCGAATAACATAAGACTGCCCATCCGGTTCATTCCCAACAACATCCAGAATCTCCCATGGTCCAAAGTACTGTGGCATGAGCTTGCGGGAAATCCCGTGCTCCTGTCCCAGTTCTGAGGACTTGACCCAGACTCTCTCTCCTACCTGGAACGTGGATGGGCAGCGGTGTTTGTTCTCAGACTCTATCATCGCCGCCTGTGCCTTGTGCATCTGTTCAACAGCCTGCTGCATCAGCTGCTCATATTGATAAGCAGAGGGCTGGTTCTCAGGTAGTAAAAAATCCAAAGGCAGTCTAGGCTTAAAGGTAAATAGCAGACTATTCGGGCTCATGCCCGTTGCGCTGTGGACCGCGTTGTTGTACAGGCTGGCAATGAGAGCAAGTTTCTCATCCCAGTCTACCTGATTTGGCTTGATGTAATGCCTCAGCAGGTGTTGTACAGCGCGGTTCAATTGTTCTGCTTGTCCATTCGCCTCGGGGTGGTTTCCTGATGTCATCTGCAGCTGTGTTCCCTGTTCTGCAGTTCCGGTGGACTTTGGCAATCCAAAATCTCTAACCCAGTTCTCTTTGAACAACTTAATCACATGCGCAGTCTTCGCTGTCTCCGGCATTGCAACTAACCTAGCGTACTTACTAAATGTATCCACGATAGCAAAGATGTGTCTCATTCCGCTCTTGCTGGTGACCAGCGTATCCATGAAGTCCATGGACAGGCTTTCACCAGGCCTTTCCGGAATCGGAAGGGGGAGGAGCCTGTGTACGTGGCTTGTCCCTCTGACAGACCTGACAAGTTTCCACGTACAGCTTCACATCTCTCATCATCGTGGGCCACCAGAACCGCTGCAGCAGATTGGCTGCAGTCTTTTTGAAACCAAAATGTTCCGTGACATCATGACACTCGCCTAAAAATGAACTACGCAATGATTCCCTATCTGACACACACAAACGTTTATTCCCTGCCTTCTCAAGGAACAGCAGTCCGTTGACCAACTCAAACTTGGCAGATGTCGGTTTGTCCTTCGCCTCGAGTCAGCGTATGATCTCAGACATAAACCGGTCCTCGCGATAGGCTTCCACCATAGATTGAGTAACATCGTCCGCAAGCCCAAACTCAGTGATCAGCGCACCAGAGAAATCTGGTCTACGTGACAACGCATCAGCACCTTGTTGTACTCGCCCTTGATGTACTGGGGCTCAAAGTCATATTGCTCTATGACTTCAATCCAACGATTCAGAGCGTAAGAGAGCACAGGCTGGGTTCTCATCCACTTCAGGGTTTGGTGATCAGTCCCGACGTACAAGAACCTCCCAAGGAGATCGTGTCTCCAATGGGTGAGCGCCTTGAAGATCGCATAGAGTTCCTTCTCATAGGTGGACTTAACCAACTTCTGAGAGGGCATCTTTTTTGACATGTACTCTGCCGGCCTCAACTTTTTCCCCTCCTGCTGCGCAAGTACGACGCCTATGCCATATTGGCTAGCATCCGTAGTTACTACAAAAGGCTTGTCAGGATCAGGAAGTTTCAAGACCTCATGATGCATCAACGCATGCTTCAGATGTCTGAAAGCAACCTCGCACCTGTCTGTCCACTCCCATTGTGTGTCAAGGCGGGCCAGGTCAGTCAAAGGGGCGACAACTATGCTATGGTTCTTCACAAAATTGCTATAGTAGCCGGTCACCCCTAAGAAAGACCTCATCTCAGTCACAGACTGAGGACTCCCAAGGAGATAGTGTCCCCAATGGGTGAGCGCCTTGAAGATCGCATAGAGTTCCTTCTCATAGGTGGACTTGACCAACTTCTGAGAGGGCATCTTTTCGGACATGTACTCTGCCGGCCTCAACTTTTTCCCCTCCTGCTGCGCAAGTACGGCGCCTATGCCATATTGGCTAGCATCCGTAGGTACTACGAAAGGCTTGTCAGGATCAGGAAGTTTCAAGACCTCATGATGCATCAAAGCATGCTTCGGATGTCTGAAAGCAACCTCGCACCCGTCTGTCCACTCCCATTGTGTGTCAAGGCGGGCCAGGTCAGTCAAAGGGGCGACAATTATGCTATGGTTCTTCACAAAATTGCTATAGTAGTCGGTCACCGCTAAGGAAGACCTCATCTTAGTCACAGAGTGAGGACGCAGCCAGTCACGAAAGCTGGCCACCTTCGCGTCATCGGGCTTCAATCCCTCCGCGGAAATCTTATGACCCAAGTACAAGACACGGGTGCGACCAAACTCACACTTCTCACCATTGATCTTGAACTTGTGCTGTCGAAGAAGACTAAGGACTTTGTCCAAATGTGCAACGTGCTCCTCGGCAGTCTTACTAAAAATAAGTATGTCATTGAGGTACGCGATCACAAACTTATCCAAGTAGTCATGAAATATCTGATTCATAGCGTGCTGAAAGGTGCCAGGAGCATTGGAAAGGCCGAAGGGCATCGCCACGAACTCATACAGACCGTACCTGGTCTGAAATGCGGTTTTGTGTTGATCCTCGGACCGGATTGCAATTTGATGGTACTCGGACTTCAGATCTATCTTATTGTAGTGACACCCTTGCACTTTATCTAGCAAGTCATCGATGCGCGGTAGGGGCTCTCCGTTCTTGACGGTGATGGCATTGAGGCCCCTATAGTCAATGCACATCCGAAGTGTTCCTTCCTTTTTCTTCGGTACGAATAGGCCTCGTGAACCATAAGGAGAAACACTCGGCCGGATCCAACCCTTTTCTACGAGTTCCTTGAGTTGCTGGCGAAGCTGGCCAAGCTCGCCTGGAAACATCTGATAGATCCCTACCCTTTGGGATGCTAGACCTTGGGATTATTTGTATCGTGTGGACGACCTCCCTCTCGACAACCCCTGTTGGCTCTTCAAATAGATCAGGGTACTTAGCCACTACTCCCTCTATCTCCGACGACATTTTCACCGGCTCGCTTGCAGCAGAGACATAAACTAGGTACATACCCTCCTCCTGATTTTGCTTATAATAATTATAGAACGCGGCTGCACACATGCATCCATAGGACTCGATCAGACTACTAGCTTTGAAATTACGTAATCTGGCGGTCCCTCCACCTGGCAAAGTGTGTTTGACCACTTTTCGGTCCTGTCAAACTGGGCTGTGCTTCAAAGAGGTAGTACATACCTAACAAGATATCCATGGGGAGATCATCACTCACTAGGAACGAAACATAAACAGGATATCCATGGGGAGATCATCTCTCACTAGGAACGAAACATAATGTCTCAGTTCCCCTCCCGCGTACGGGAAACAACACTCAACACTCTGGAGTTAGTCATTAACTACCATGCGCTGTTTGTTGGCACAGGTCGACTCCACATGTCGACTCAGGCGATGCGCTTGCCCCTGTAAGCGCAGCCTCTCAATGCACGCGCGACTGATGAAGTTCCTAGTCGAGCAAGTGTCATAATAGGCCCCAGCCTTGCGGCCGCCAATGACCACCTCGCTGACGAACATCTCACCCTTAGGGGCTTTGACCAATGCCGTCCAAGAAGCTAGTGGGTCTGATCTAGACCACTCCTCCTCTAGCTCCTCTAAGGACTCAAACACATTCATCGAACAGAGGCTCGATGAGTCCGAACGTGTTTGCAGGACGACGATGGAGTCAGTAGCTTGGGCCATCTCTCGAGATGGTGAGGGTGTATCCACCACCTCCACCCTCGCAGAAACAACTACTACTCCTACTGGCCCGACGTGTTTCCCGGAGTGGTGCCATAACTGCTGGCCACATTGCTACCAACAGGAGCGGAGGATCCCAACGCCTGCCCCATCGTAGGCGGGATCTTTTCGGTTACCTTCTTATTTCGACACTTGAATTGGTTATGGTCGTATTGGCCACAACAGATCCAAGCCTACCGTGTGTACCGATCTCTCCACACGTCCTCAGTAAGACCCGCTTTCTCCCATGGAGGAGCATTGGGGTCAACTTGACTCCTTGATCGGGAACCTCAACGGCGTCGACCGGTCGCCTTACCTTTCTGTGCTACGGCAACGACTACTGCACCCCTGAAGCTTCTACGCTGCCAGCCTCTGGACCTACTCCCTCCTGGAAGTTGTCATCTAACTCGATGGTAGAACCATGGTTGTCGATAAACATAATGCGGCCCTTTGCTTTCCAGTTGGGAGGCAGTGACTTCTTCCTACCATTCGTCGTGGGATTATGTCCATGCCCTATCTTTGCCTCAAGGTCTAGGGCCTTCTTGCGGAACGAGGGAAAGTTGTGCATATTGATGTTGGCCTCACCTGCCAACTGATTCCCGAGGGGCATGGGAAAGCAGCTCAGGTAGGAGGTGAGTAATACCTGGGGGTCATAGCGCACCCCAGGGACACAGATCAGACACTCTACTGCGTCAGTGGCCTTTTGGGTCTCCTGAGCGAGGATCATGCCACCTATCTTCCACCATCTTGAGAAAGTCCTCCAGTTTCTGGTGGGCTGCCCAAGCGCGGAAGTCATGACCATATCCTTGCAACTGCACTAAACCACTCAATCATCTTGCTGCACTACCTTCTAGGTAGGATGCAGCCACAAGGACTTCCTCGTGCGGCAAGGTAAGTTTGCACTTGACTTAGACCGGCACTGCCCTCAACCAAGTGTCGAGGTCTTCACCTCTCTTATCCCTTGTGAAGGGTTTAGGAGCGGCGATGGCCGTCTTTGGTACCCACTGACTTTGTCCCGGTACCTGCACCAATCCGGGCTGTGGACCCTGTGGCGCAGGCTGCTGCACTAGCTGCTGCTGGGGTTGTGTACCCTGCGGCTGTGCAGGCTGCGAAACAACAGGCTGCCTGCTTACGGCAACCTGTGACGGAGGTTGGGTGAACACTGTCTTTACAGGAACCTGCAAACTAGGACCTGCTGAGAACCCGCTTGTCAAAGGCATACCCAGGGAAACGGGCTGGACCGATGCTGGAGCTGTATATGGGGATACCCCAGTCACCGGTGGGACAAAAGGAGGAGGTTGTACAACGGGCCAGGCACGGGGCCCGGACGGCGATGGTGCAGCCTGCACCAATACGGCTGGACTCTGTTGAATGTTTTGAAGGAGAGCCGTCTGGTGGTCCTGCATTTCAACTACATCTAGCAGGACGGACTGTATGGTCCTCACATCGTCACTCATGTGCGTCAGGTCCATCTCCTCTAACTCACTAATGTCCGCTTGCCTCCGCTGCATCCTGGCTCTTCTTCTAATCATTTTCTCTTTCTCTGCCTTAATCTCTCCTAACGCCTGCTGTTGCGGTGCCTCGCGAATCGCTGCTCGCTGTATGGCGACCTCCTCGGATCCTGTAGACTGACTCTGGGTCTGTGCGACCTTTGACCCTACAGATCCTGAACTGCTAGCCTGGGAACTCTGCTGCGCAGAAGTGGCCATGGCTGCTGAAGCTGCGGCATCGCTTACCGACGCCCTGCTGGCCTCTGCTGCTCTAGCTCTCCTCTGCTGCTGCTGCCTCTCCCTACGCTGGCGGAACAAATATCTGTCACTCTCTGGTCCCTGGGCGTCTGGCCGATCGCAAGATCCGGTCGTCCTCTCTAATGTCCTCCCCGTCGCTCATAAGCTACAGCACTGTACACAATCTGCACTAGTGCATTCTAGATGCCTACCGCAGTGTAGTGCACAGACCAACTAAAAATAAATAAGTAATTACTTGGTGGCTATGTCAGAAACTATACATTTGGGTCCAACAGGTAAGTTCAGATTCCTATAAACAAACTATTTTTACTTCGACTAGTCCGCAAACAGAAGCACCAAGAACAGAAAACAGTTCTATCTAATGCTGTCTGTCAGATGTCAATGACTGTTCATCTAACTAATCAAAATAAAAAAAAGAAGAATTGTTTGTTGGGTCTGTTTGCAGAATGGTATCTTGCCGAAACTTATCACCTGGAATCTACCCCTCCCTCAATTCTTCTTGAGTATCTCTTGTCGTCAACGTCCCTGAGCAATCCAGATAGCGTGCGTGTCTGAAGGTGTGCACACGGCCCACCCCTGTGCCCCAAGTCCTGCTGAGCTGGCCAGCTCTAGCACATTGTTTATCCTCGCGTGCAGCGAGCCTTACATCGATTGGCTGATCAAGAGGCCATTTTAAGGACCGCCCCCAAGCCTCCGCAGGAATTATTTAACGTAGCAAACAGGATGATGATCACAGCCAATGGTTTCCCCTGCCCGTGTTTATTTATAGACGCCCGGTTCTCGTCTCCCACATAGAGCTGGCCTGCCCCTCAGAACCCATCTAACAGCGCAGCGAGCCGAAACAAAGGACAAGCAGCAAAGCATGCGTGCTCTACTCCCTGTGGGTTGGCATGGTGACCGTGACCCAGTGCTTCGTCCAGGGCCCTTCAGATAGCTCCGCCCTCTCCTTCCAGATGCTCCACGTGAAGGCTGACGACTCTCAAGGTTGAGCGCACACGACTCCTCACATGAGAGGACTCTCAAGACAGAACACACATCCTCACTTTAAGAAGTGTCGAAGAGGGTAGATAAGGTTAGGTGCAACGTACCTCAGAACAGCTGCCCCCAACCACAGATATTCTCACCAGATGACCCGATGTTGATTGTGATGACCAATCGCTGTTTCGGCACAACCAGCATTGCACAGCCATTCCACCTCAGCACCAATCACACATCAGATAGATCTCGTCACTCTGCAAACACCCAATATCACACCACGTAGCCTGCCTGGCGATCCCCTCTCGACCTGGGTCGCCTCCTTATCTCCGCCCTCCTCACTACATACGTCCCACGGCACGGTCACTCACCGCACACACCGCGTGCATGTACCGCATTAGGCAGAAGATAAGCGGCAGATTAGCGCACCGAACCACAGCTCCGATACCAAATTGCAAGGAAGATGAGCGATAGCGAACTTCAGAAATCAAACAGCATCATACACATGAGACCAGATAGTAGTGATCTCGAAGAAAAAGCAGAATTGCATCACGAGTTTCACCAAATAAGAACACAGCAGAAGCCCATAATTGACAGTGCTGGAATAGTCTCATCATCATCAACAAAGAACCAAAGTCGGTATCCTATCTGGCACTCGGCGCCCAGACTATTAATGGCAGATCCTATCTAGCCTACTCTACAATGCTGCCGGATGACGTCAACAGCTTCACTGAAGTATGAGCAGATCTCGGAGAATGCCGTCGCCTCAAGCACCAGGTATGTCTCTCCACCATGCGCCCCATCCAGCTTACAGCAGCGCAGCTCGGCTATGGCTGCCTGCTCCTTCCAGCTCGCCCGTGAGCGCATGAGCCTGGCAGGCGATAGCGCAGCAGCGCTTGCACACAAAGCAGTCAGTGCCCGAATACCTCCAGCGTGGGCTGGCCCTTTCGTATATGGAAAATGGCCAGCCTGCGTGCGTGCAGCCTGGCTGTGCTGGGCCTCTGCCCAGAAGCTTCCGGTAGGCCCAAGGAGGCTGAGCCTCAGACCAAACGAATTGGTCCAGGGCCACCGACAGTTACATGTGCCCAACTGCCCACAGCCTCAGTCGGGCCTATGCTGCGAATCTCGCCCAGGGCCTGACTCCGATGCATTTGATAAAAGAAACCAGGGCCTGGGCCCTTCCAACCGGCTGGCGCTGCGCAACTGCCTGAATTTTCCCCAGTTGCGAAGTAGTCCAAAATAGGCCTCTTAAGGTCCGTCAGGCCTGCCTTCACTTAGGGCGGCCGACGCTGTTGCAAATAGGGGCCCAGTAGGGCTTATCGAGGCCTTGTGCCTCGCCCCACACATTCTAAATGAGAAAATGGGGTGCGTTTATAGCATGCAGTACACTTGTTACATTCTGCGATTCCACACGGGCCCTCACAGCCCGACATACCGGTTCAGGGGGTACCGAGCTCGCCAAAGGCCAGGCCTTTTTCTCTCAGTAGGCCCTGTTAGGCCACCGGTTGGCGCCGCAGCACCCAGCAGACAAGGGTTGGCCCAAACGACATGACCATTTGGGCCTGGCGGCGCTCTTGAGGCTGCCGCCCGGCGGTCTGAGCTGAACGGTCATTTCGACGGTTCAGCCCACGGCGCAGGATGCCAGCATCAAGGCCGACCGGCCGCTGGACGGTACTTAGGCCGGTCCAGCGGCCATTCCCACATTTTGGAACAGCGGCAACTAGGAGCAGCGCTGCGCTAATTTGGGATTAGTGCAGCTCCGAGCGCAGCAGCGCTATTTCGTGCTGGGTGGCGTGTAGAGGTGGTAGAGGGAGGTACTCACCGACTTACCTGTGCAGCGCCATAGCTCCAGGTTGAAGTCGCGGGTCTTCGGCAGCTCCAAGGCGCCACCTTGCACCTGCAGGTAAGAGCCGGGCACGAATCCGGGAGTGAGGCACACCTCCTGCCTGCCTCACCATCTCCACTTTTCTCCTCTGCCCCTCTCCATCTTCTTCCTCTTCTTCTTCAGACTTCTTCTTCTTCTTCTTCTTCTTCTTCTTCTCCTTCAGACTTTTCTTCTTCTTCTTCTTCAGACTTAGTCTTCTTCTTCAGATTGGACACTAAGATACGAGTTGGACAGAGATCAGTGTTTGGACTTCGGGTGTAAGAGGCTGAGACACTTACCTGGTTTCGAGACATTGGAGACATTGGGATTGATAGCCAGTGGCATCACAGATCGGACATTTGTTACATTGGGATTCTGCACCTCAGACATTGGTGACTCGTGTTCATGACATTCTGGTTTTGTTCGGTGACATTTTGGCTACCATATCGGTGACCTTCTGGATTTTATCTCGGTGACATCGGGCGCTGTCCACATCTCCCACCTCCATCGTCTCTCCTCCCACCATTCATCTGTGTATGATTGTATGGGGCCTGAAGCATCGTCTATGCATGGCTTCAGACCCCACCATCCATCGATTGTTTGTGTGTTGAGTGATGTTGGGTGAGTTCGGTCTACGTGAGTCAGTCCATTTCTCGGACTTCCGCTGCATACATGCTCATCCTATATTGGTTGATCTTTGGTTCTCCCCATACTTGTTGAAGTATTCACTAGTATGCAACAGTTTTGGTATCGGAGCAGACCAATTAAATGGATCTGCTCACAAGGTAATTCTGATTAAGGAATCGATCGCTCAATTAGCATGATTCGTTTTTTCCAAATCAGTTCTGCATTACTATCGAGATTCAAGTTGCAAATTCTCCTTTTTTTAAAATTCGGTATTCTGTTTTATTTCGGTATTGAATTAGGGTTGCGATAAAAGTTTCAGTTTTCCACATTGGGGAAAATTCGCACTTTGGCCTTCGGAAAATTGGATTTTGTTTGGTTGAAATTCCCGAAATTTCACGTTTTTTGAAAATTCGAGTGTTTTTTTCCTTCTCTAACTATCCGATTTTTTTCTTTTTCGTTTGGCCGACTGTTTGGAATCGTTTACCTCAGAACTGCAACTTTCCGGGAAGTTCACTGACAACGGTGAACTCCCGGATCATAGGTGATCTCAATGGACACCTAATCGACCGACAATTTAAAATTCGTTATTGATAATTATTAAATGTTATTGATTAATGATTCTTAATTATTTATTATTCATCATTCTTATTGATTATTGATTATTTTCGTAATTAAATCGTTTGGGGGAAAAGTCAATTTTTTTTTGTTCTTCTCTTTTGATTAGGAGTCCAGTCCACATTGGGACAGGGGACTGTATGTGGATTGCTTGATCTGTTCTACCTGTTCCCACCCTCCCTGCCCTCCCCATACTCTGTGACACCGAGGTCTCCAAGTACCGCATCAGCCTGTGCTGATGTCGACGGAACAGAGCACTGGGGCACTGCCACGACGCAGTGCCAGGCTCGCAGTTCGTAGCCACTTTGTGCTACCTCCACGGCCGAAGTATCAGCAACAACGACGCAGCAGGCGAACGACTCCAGCGGCATCCAGTACCAATGCAGCAACTGCAGTACGGGGTACCGTCGGGACCCTTCCCGCCTGTCCGGTCCAAGGGGACCATGAGACTTTGGCAGCTTACCTTCAGCGGGTACAGGCATTCACAGATGCCATCGCCACAGCAAAGGCACAGCAAGGGGCAGCAGAAGCAGAACGTCAGCGGCTTGCCCAAGAGCCGGCAGCCCAAGCTCAGCGAACTGCTGAGGCTGAAGCAACGGCTCGAGACAAGCGGAATGCCGCCAGCATTGAGTCTCTGATTCAAAATGAGAGTCAGTGGACTACTACCTACTCCAAGGCATGACCTTTGTGCCTACGGATGACACCGGCGGAGGCAGAAAGGTGTAACCTGGCTAACTTGATGCTGTGCATGATGAGGGCGGTGATGTGGAATAACACAATGCTGTAGGTACACCTGCTCGCGGACCGACCGCTCAGACAAAACCAGCAGGAAGATACTGCCGCCTTAACATCTGCCGTCCGCGCCGCAGCAACGCAGCAGCATCAACAGCACCAGCTGTTGAACACCACTATCACACGCGTCAACAACATCGAGGCTAAGGCCTCAGCAGCGCCAGGCTGCATGATAGACACGGCGAAGCAGCTCGGGGAGCTCATCAACCATGTTGTCAATATTATCGAAGACCTAGGTGACTTTACCAGTCCGGCCACGATCAGCAGCATGGTGGCCGCCATCAAGACAGACATCACCAAATTGCAGTCACGACCGGAAGCCGCTGCGAAGGTATACAAGATGCCACGTTTCAACATCAGCAAGTTTGACGACTACAACAAGATGGACGCCTTGACATGGTGGCAAGCCTTCCTCACCAAAGCAGCCTGCCACTACGTGCCGCCCGAGGATATGATGAAAGCACTCTACCTCCAACTCATTGGAGGAGCACACACATGGATGAACACACCGCGGCCAATCTGAGATGTACCGTCGCCCAACTGCACACGCACATTACGTGGGAGCAGTTCGAGCAAATGTGGAACACTCGATTCATGGTCCGCAACGTGGTAAAGGCGGCCATGAACGATGTCTACTCCAACTCGCAAGGGAACATGCCAACTCGAGACTGGACGATTAAGTGGCAGAAGATAGTAACCACTCCGGGCTTCGACTTGAGTTTCCCAAAGCAACGATCCGAATTCTTTTCGCGATCGTGTGCAGGACTGCGGTGGGCACTCGGCAACGAGTACGACTACGCCTCATTCCAGGCCATTCAGGATCGTGCGAACCTGGTCATCCAAATGGATGACAAGGCTGCCAACGAATGACAGTCCCAGCCGCAATATGTGGCTAAGCAAGGCTACCAACGAGCGACGCATAACAATGCAGTGATTCCTGACGAATCAATAGATCTCCACGCTGCAGCAGCATCCTCGAGTGATGGACGAGTTGTCGCAACGCTTCCGCCGAAGCGTCCAAGGCGACACAAGCGACGACATCGAAGGTAACTGGGCAGCAACCATGAAAGACATACAACATTACCAAGGAAGTATTTGACCTTCGTCAACGGTACGGATATTGCCTTTGGTGCAATAGTGTAAACCACACTACCGCACAATGCTCGAAAAAGGGAAGGCACGCGTACCCCGTCTAGCTAACTCGGGAAACTGAGTTACGCACGGAGAGGGGCGACGCCTCTCCTCACTCTGTCGGAACCGGTTGCCTTGCTAGCAACCGATATCACTACCGGGGAGCATGAGTTAGTCACTGATTCTCGTGATACATACGAGGATTATGCTGCCCAGGTGGTGCCACCATTGGACCAGCCTAGCCACGTGCACTTAGATAGCGTATGTGCAACTTGTACACCGCCGGCAAGTGAACCGGTCAGTTCGCCATTGATTTCTGAGGACTCGACGGCGTGGTCAAGACTTGAGGAGCTTGACCCACTCACGAGAGAGGACTTCGTTTGGATGCCTCTACCCTCGACCGGATCCTTGCCAAAGCCGCATTGTAACGCATTGATGGCAAATCTACGCTCCTACTTGCACGCTGCAGTACCGGCTCCGTTGATGGATGACGGTGTAGCGGTTGTTGATCTCCGCTCCTATCTTGCGAAGATTGACCGCGAGTACGCCACGCAAAGGTACGCCGAGATCGATGCTCCTTCGCTCTATATCCGCATTCAAATCGGAAAGGCAACCTGCAGTGCCTTGATTGACTGCGGAGCGTCTCGCAACTTCATGAGCCAAGCGTTTATGGCCCGCGCGTGCGAAGGAAGACGCAACCTACGCAAGTTACACTCGCCGACGGCCGCACGCAAAAGTCAATTGACCGATGCGTTGACGGCGTGCCGGTGTACTTTGCGCCCCTTGCGTGCGAGCCGGTGTCTTTTGACATCCTCGACACCAAGTTCGACATGATTCTAGGCATGTCTTGGTTGCGTAGGGCCGACCATCCGGTAAACTTTCATGACCGAACCGTTCACGCCCGTGATCGGAAGGGAGTGTTAGTCCCATGTACGGTTGCGACCCCTCACACTTCGATTACTTGTCATGTAGTTTTCGTCGCGAGGATTCGCGACGCCATAGCTCGGAATGACTTAGAGGAGATGGGTGTTGTTTTCCTACATGCCCTCCCCTCGACGGACGGACCAGCCGCGTCGCCGTCGGACCCACGTATTACTCACCTCTTAGATGGATATGGAAACGTCTTCGAGGCTCCCACCGGAACGGTTCCAGGTCGGCCCATACGTCACGGGATTACTCTCGAGGCGGGTGCCGTCCCTCAACGTGGATGCATTTCCCGCATGAGCGAAGAGGAACTCGAGGTGCTTCGCGCACAATCGATGACCTTCTCGACAAAGGCTGGATTCGCCCTAGTTGTTCGCCATACGGTGCACCGGTTCTCTTCGTCCAGAAGAAGAACAAGGACTTACGGTTGTGCATCGATTATAGAAAACTTAACGCACAAACCATAAACAACGCCGGCCCCCTCCCTTGGATTGATGATCTCCTGGAGCGATTGGGCGGCGCGACGTACTTCTCGAAGTTGGACTTGAAGTCGGGTTACCACGATATCGAAATCCAGCCTCAAGACCGGTACAAGACTACCTTCAAAACGCGGTATGGGCATTTTGAGTGGGTCATGATGCCATTTGGACTCACCAATGCCCTGACAACCTTCCAAGCAGCCATGACAACAGAGTCCCGAGACTTGCTCGATCGTACCGTCCTCATCTACCTCGATGGTATCTTGGCCTATAGTAGGACGCTCGACTAGCACCTCGTACACCTTCATGCGGTGTTGGATCGGTTGCGAGCAGCCAAGTACAAAGCAAACCGTGACAAGTGCGAATTCGCCAAACAAGAGCTTGAGTACTTAGGCCATTACGTGACGCTGAAAGGCATTCGTCCCTTTGCGGACAAGATCCAAGCCAATCGTGGATTGGCCGGAACCCCGTTGAGCGTCGGGCGTACGCTCTATCATGGGTTTGGCTGGATACTATCAGCGCTTCGTCGAGTCTCACTCCAAAGTGGCAGCTCCTTTGTCAAGACTTCAGCCCCCGAAGGTACCATTCGAGTTCGACGACGCAGCTCGTGGCGCGTTCAATACGTTGAAGGYGGCGATGCAAGACGCACCGGCCCTCCGTATCTATGACCCCACCCTACCCACCCAAGTGACTACGGATGCTTTCGGGTACGGTATTGGTGCGGTATTGGAATAATGCGACATAGATGGTTGGCACCAGGTCGTGTACTTCTCCCAAAAAGTGCCTCCCATCAACACTCTCGACGACGCTAGGAAGAAAGAGCTACTCGCGTTCGTCACTGTTCTCAAACGGTGGCGTCACTTTCTTCTCGGTCGTCGGCGTTTTAGATGGAACACAGACAATAATCCGTTGACCTTCTAAAAAACGAAGGACATGGTCACTAGCACGATCGGTCGATGGATGTATTACATCGACCAGTTTGACTTTGAGCCGTGCCACATTCCCGATCACACCAATTGAGCAGCGGACGCCCTCTCACGACGGCCCGATCTTGGTGCCCTCGTGACTACGACGTTCCAACTCGACGATGATGTAGCAGCATTTCGTCAAAGGCTACAAGTCCGATCCGACTTACTCTACGTTTTATGCAGAGCTCTTATTGGATCACCCGTCGGCTGGTCATTATCGTATCTGCGACGGGTTCCTACTCCACACGAGAGGAAAGGACTTGTTAGTGGTGCCCCAAGATCGCATCTTACGGAATCGTCTTCTCAGTGAATTCCATGACGCACGACTTTCGGCACACCTTGGCGTGACCCGCACATTGGCCCGCCTCCGCCAGCGTTTTCACTAGCTAGACGTTCTTCACTATGTCACGAGGTCCATTGAGTCATGCACAGCTTGCCATCGCAACAAAGGTCGATCTCAGGTCCTTTATGGCGAACTGAAATCGATGCCGATTCCTCGGGCACCGCGCCTCTCCATTGCCATGGACGTTAGAGGCCCGTTCCCCCACGATCGCCTCGGCCATGACGGCATTCTCACGATCGTTGACCGTTTGAGCAAGTACGCTCGTTTTCTTCCATGCAAGTACCGTGCTACAGCCCCCGAGCTCGCACGACTCTTGCACACCGGCTGGATTACCTGCCACAGTGTACCGGAAGGCATTGTGAGCGACAAACACTCGCTTCATGTCAACCTTTTGGACTTCCCCCTCATCACGGAGTCCGGTTCGACTATGAAGCCGAGTTCCGCACGACACCCGCAGACGGATGGGCAGTCGGAACGAGCGCATCAGACCGCTCAAATGATGTTACGTACACTCATCCGTCCCGACGAGAAAGATTGGGTTGACCGGCTTCCCGACATCGAGTTCGCCTATAACACTTCGGTGCACCCGACGATCTGCATCACTCCATTCGAGTTACATCACGGTGGAGAGAAAGCCCGAGTCTTTGCCGATCTTCTTCTACCACGGGCCGCCGACATAGACGACGCTTGCTCTCCCGCTTCTGTTCGGAAGTACCGGGACTTGCTGATCAAAGCCCGCGCGAACATGCAAAAGGATCAAATCCACATGCAGCAGCAAGCTAACCAACGTCGACTCCATGTCCTTTCCGCGAGGAAGACCTTGTTTGGGTCCTCGCTGAGGAATTCGCGCTGGAGCAGGACGTCTCGCACAAACTCCTCCCGAAATGGTTTGGACCATGGAAGGTAATTTCTGCAGCAGGCGACGACCCTACAGGTCCTTCCTTTGTGATTGCCATCCCACCGCACCTCCGTGTGCACCCAGTCTTCCATGCGTCGAAGCTGGTCGTCTACACGCCACCTTCCGAGGATGAGTTTTTGGGCCGACGATCACACCCTCTATGGACGGACACCAGAAAGTCGACCGTGTCATCAGGCACTGCAAGTTTGGCAACAAGCCAATGCAATACGAAGTCACATTCAAGCAATGTGCCCCAGATGACACTCGTTGGATGTCCCGCGCAGACTTACAAGCATCTGCACCACTCATCTTCTCCGACTACAAGAACCGGCGACTCGCCAAGGACAAAGCTCGTCCCACCCGACCCACCCAGGTATCGGACAGGCAACTTCGCCCTCGCAGGGAGCTTGGTCTTTTAAGGGGGGGAGTGTGTTACATTCTGTGATTCCACACGGGCCTTCAGAGGCCCGACAGGCCAGGCCTTCTTCTCCCGGTAGGCCCTGTTAGGCCACCGGTTGGCGCCGCAGCACCCAGCAGACCAGGGTTGGCCCAAACGACATGACCATTTGGGCCTGGCGGCGCTCTTGAGGCTGCCAACCGGTGTATATTAGACCGGCTCCTGTTGTTGGTCCTGCCGTTGCCGGAACCAGGGCATCGGGTATGTTGCAATGAGGGCCGTCTCCTTGTCTTACTTGGAGGCTTACTTGGAAAAGAACTTGGTGCAGAAGTCCTCGGTGGCAGTTCTGCTGTGACCAGAACCTGGATTCAGTGAGCTATCCATCGTAGGTCTCCAGGAGCTCAACCAAGCTATGCTTTGAGTGAGCATCTGGTGGATTGCTTTGCTGCAATCTGTCTAGTTTTGTAGATAGATTGCCAATCTGACGCACTGTCGTCTTCAGTAATGGGAGCAGTGGGGGGCGTGGAGAGTAGGAATGCATCAGTGATGTCGGGTTTTATTTCCCGTGTGTGCACTGCCAAAAGGGCAGTACACAGGGAACAACCTGCTTCCTTTTGCCTATTCTTATATCTGCCTCTCCCTCTTCGGCCGACCTCTGCTCTGACGGTACCTTCATTTTGCCGATTGCTGTGTGTGTGTATGAAATGGGTAATGGTTTTGGGTGCAGTTGGCGACTTTGCATTTCCTTCCTTCCTTGAGAAAGATAACAGTTGTAGGGGACTAACAGTCATCTCCGGTGGCATTGGCGTCTGCTGCCCTTGCCAGCTGATCCAAGCCTGCCTTGAAGAGTCCTCCAGAAGTTTTTTTTTTTTTTTTTTTCACCTTCGCGATAGCCGTTTCTCCATGCTCCCTTTTTTGGCATCCGGTTGTGCTCCTCTGTTTTATGAAAGATGGATTTGACGACTGTCTTTCAACTTCTGCATAGATAACTGTATTGTTTAATTGGCTTTCTCACACACCATTGGGCGGGGGAGAACCACGGATGTGTATAGACTGCTCACTCATTGAAAATCCCAAAGGAAGGGGTTTAAACCCCTACAACTGAAACCTTTTGCCCTCCTGCCTGTTTGATGATATGGCAACCCTCTTTAACTTCTTCGTAGTAACCTGGATGAAATGTCCAGTGCTGTAGCCATTCCGCTCGACTGGGCAGCCGTGAAAACAACCTCTGGCCAGTGAATCTCAGCAACCAGGTCACTGTGCAGAGTAAAGTGCAGTTCTTGTTATATCCAGTTCAATTGCGCTGAGCTTGTCCTCCGTTCTGGCAGTGAGCGCTGCGATTGCTTCACATACAATGCTCTCCTGGTTCGCTAACCCGAACTTCTCTGGGGTTGGTCCTCGACGGGATTTTGAGGACCTGGTTTCTGTTCGGTAGCACCTTCATTTGCTTGTGACGAGTGGTACGTTGTGAAACAGGCATTACTGTGCCCGTTCCGCAGGTGAGATGAAATCTGTATCCGGTTCCCGACCACTGGAAGACCAGCTTGAGCAGCACAAAAGCTGTTTTATCATTGGACATTGCTCGAATGCTGTCATCGGACTGGTAGTACCATCTGTTTGCTCCACTGATATGCTTGTTTCTGACTCACGCCTTGTAGCATCTCCCCATTCCTCGTCAGTGTGGCTGAGGAGGGTATTGTTCAGGAAGATGACATTCAGCTAGGAGCAGCGGCAAAGTGTGGGCACAAGAAAATGGATCGTAATATGATGAACATGGGCGCCATGGAACGGTATCAGGAGGAACGTGCTCGTGCAGCTGATATGATGAAAGCAGCAAATCCCGGCGCTGCCACGCCAAGCTCTGGTAAGTAGAGTCATCCCTGTCATGTCTGCTGTCAAGCCCTCTCAAATGTTGTCTGCCGCCCATCCTTACTCGTCATGTGTGTGTGGATGCCCCAATGGCACCTCCTATCCATATTAATCATGTGTGTGGATGTCAATGACACCATGCTTAGGGAGAAGTCAAGTCAGAAGGGGGAGTGAGTGATTGAGACAGCAGCAGTACATCATAGGCCGACAGGAATGACTACGGTGTCTTCGATAAACTTTCTGCAACGGAGATGTTCCATTGAAATGGTTTCAAAAGTTTTAAAGATATTCTTGACTGCAGGGGAGTTGGCATATTTTGGAAACACTCGTCAACAACAACCGTTCATTGTTGGGACAACAGCTTAGAGTGTGTGTGTGTGTGTGTGTGTGTGTGTGTGTGTGTGTGTGTGTGCTGTCTCTTATACACATCTAGATGTGTCTATCTGTCCTCCTTTGGATCAGTGTGATGTCTGAACCGAACTCGATACTGCAGCTTCGGTTTTGGAGGACATCCTCTGCCTGTTGGTCTTGGAACCGGCATTTCCCTGTGGTCAATGATGTCGTCAATGTCGACCTCTCCATCCATGGTTGGGGGCAGCATAGAGCGATGAGAGAGAAACTGGTCAGTTTCTTTGAATGGGGCAAGTTAAGAAGCGTGAAAAACAGGGTACGTACGTAAGTGACCAGGGATGCGAATAACATAAGACTGCCCATCCGGTTCATTCCCAACAACATCCAGAATCTCCCATGGTCCAAAGTACTGTGGCATGAGCTTGCGGGAAATCCCGTGCTCCTGTCCCAGTTCTGAGGACTTGACCCAGACTCTCTCTCCTACCTGGAACGTGGATGGGCAGCGGTGTTTGTTCTCAGACTCTATCATCGCCGCCTGTGCCTTGTGCATCTGTTCAACAGCCTGCTGCATCAGCTGCTCATATTGATAAGCAGAGGGCTGGTTCTCAGGTAGTAAAAAATCCAAAGGCAGTCTAGGCTTAAAGGTAAATAGCAGACTATTCGGGCTCATGCCCGTTGCGCTGTGGACCGCGTTGTTGTACAGGCTGGCAATGAGAGCAAGTTTCTCATCCCAGTCTACCTGATTTGGCTTGATGTAATGCCTCANGTGAGAGAGAGAGAGAGAGAGAGAGAGAGAGAGAGAGAGAGAGAGAGAGAGAGAGAGAGAGATTTCTCAGCCGTCGATCAGATGGATTTGGGATCTAAATTCCTTTTGAGAAACGACGAGCAGGGAGTTGCTTGACTGTTCTTTTCAGCCTCTGTTTGCAGGAGGAAGGTCCGCTGTGAAGAGGGAGTCCTTTCTGGTGTGTGCTGTTCGTGGAAATGATGAGGCGAGCAGAGTACGTGACACTTTGGTGACTCCAGTTCAGTTGTCTTATCTTTGTATGTTGCATCTGTTCTCTCTGTGCAGTTGCACCTGGAAATTTCGTTTGGGATGAGGCATCAGGCCTGTATTTTGATGAAGCGTAAGTTGGCCGCTGCTGCACCTCTATTCTGACTTTATGAGTTTGACTGTGTAGGTGTACCTTTACTCTTCCCCTCAACCTGCCCGTTCCTGGGGTTGGCTTCCCCTCTGCCCTGCCCCATCATATGCTTCAGTAAGAACTGAGAAGATTGGTGATTTTGTGGGAGCGTTGTTGCGACATATGGAAACTGATGCTGCGCACTTTGCAGTTGGTTTGTTCATTTATGTAATCACCGCCCGTCTTCCTTCATACACGTGGATGTCTGTTGCCACTACACTCTGTATAAATTGCAGGGGACCTCCAGCGTCTGGTTATTATGATGGGGGAAAAAAAAAAGATGTGTGGATCACCATGCCCACGGAGTGGGGTGTACTATCTTGTAGCGTTTCATTTGAAGAGTGGGCGGTTGGGGTCAATGATCTTTCTTTCACAAGTTTTCATACTCGAGCTATGGAATGTGCTCGCTATTGCGTTTTGAATTGTGGTGGGGAGCTGCATCCTGCTTCTACTTTCTTCAGTAGTTAGGGCTGATGATGACAGTGCTCACAAACACACAAACACACACACACACACACACACACACACACACACACACACACACAAAAGTAGCGGTGATTTAGAGTAATGCCAATTACAAAGTGTGCTAGTGATGCTGTTGATGACCTATTTGGCTGTGTCAATTACGACTGTGATTGTTATAACTGTCAAATGGCAGACTACTTTCAACAATTGGTTCCGTCTAACTGTGAACGCAAGGCCACTATGTGCCCTAATGTAAATGGCCATGTGCAACGCATTGGACTAGAAGGGAATGAAGCATGCACTGACTCATGATGATATCTCTTTTGCTCTGTCAACTACAGCTCAAACAGCAAGGTGACTCCCAAGTGAATGAACTTACAAACGTAAATCTCTCTCTCTCTCTCTCTCTCTCTCTCTCTCTCTCTCTCTCTCTTCCCCTCTCCCTCTCCCTCTCTCTCTCTGTCGTTTGCTCTCGCTCTCGTTCTCTCACTCTCTCTTTCTCTCCTTACGAGTGCGGACTTTCAGTGCTCAAGCTGTTTGCCTGTCTGTGCATCTCTGGCTTTTGCCGCTTGCCTAAGGTAAACCCTAAACCAAAATGGCCAATAAATTGCATATCATCATGTCGCAGTGACAGTGTACTCAGGTTGTGTACACACCGCTCCTCAGGCCATGGGAATGCATTTTGCCCATGTACGTACTGCTTACATTTGCATCATATCTTGTTCATTGAACTCAGTGAGGAGTTGGTTATCTTGCTTATGCACTTGTGTGTGTGTGTGTTTTCCCACAGCTCTGGATATTACCATGATCCACGAGCTGGGTGGTATTACAATGGACACAACTCAACATACTACTCATACGAGGATGGGAAGTTTGTTCCACTTCCGTGTCCCATTATCGAGGGAGACGAGCCAGGCAATAAGTCAGGAGGTGGTGATGTCAGCAAAGACGTCGGGAGGCCAAACTATGGGCATGACAAGGTTGGTAATGCTGGTTTTGAAGGAGCCCGAGGTGGTCGCTATGATGTGAGGGGGGATCAAGTAGAAGGGAAGCGTAGTGACCGAGTTGGAGAGCCTCCAGTTGGTGGGGCGGGGCCCGCTTTGGCTGGAGAAAGGCCACATCTGAGTGCTGGTATGTCTGGGGAGAGGGAGCAGGAGAGGCTTCATGATTGGCGGACTGGGGGTGGCAGCGAACATGTTGGTGCTGAAGGTTGGTCAAGGGGGAGGGCAATGGATGAGTCCGTGGCTGGCACTCGCTACTCTGGCATGGGAGTGAGTGGAAGAAGTGTGAGTCATTTTCCAGGAGGTGAGAGTATGGCTGAGGGTTGCAGTCGATCATGGATGCCCTCAGGGCACCCTCGACGAGAGGATGAGGGTATTGCAAGTGCCGACTACCTGGAATACCGGGAACGGGAGCTCAGAGGTAGAGGGTGGAAAGGGGGTGCGGGTGTCTTGGGCAGTGGGGGAGCAACAGATAACGGGGGTCTGCGATACTCTCGTAGAGAAGAGTACCGAGGAGGAAGAGAGGAGTATCTGGGAAGAGAGGAGTATGTGGGAAGAGAGGAGTTTGGAGGAAGGGATGAATATGGATATGGACGAAGGGACGAGTACAGAGGAAGAGGGGAGAGGAGCAGAAGGGAAGAATACCGTGGAAGAGAGGAACTGAGGGCAAGGGAAGAGTTCGTTAGACGGGAGGATTTTAGAGGAGAGGGTAGTGAAAATTGGAGGTACGCAGGACGTGAGGATGCGAAGCGCCATCTAAGGAGTGGTTCGTTTGACCGTGATCGTGATGAGCGCCTGCTCCAAGAGAGAGCAGCCTTGTATTCAGATTCAGCTCGACCTCCTCCTTGGGGAGTCCTCGAAAGGGGTTCTAGTAGTAAAGAGGAGCTGATGCGGATGGAGCGCTTCAGAACATCTGCACTTGAAAGTTATGATGACAGAAGAATTGCGACCGGGAGAGAGAGGGATGCTCCTCTTCATGGTACTGGTGCCGGGTGGTCCTCTGATGGAAACCGACTGCCTGAACGAGGAGGTCTAAAGGACGATGGAAAACTGGTTCGAATTCCGTCCGCAAGTGATCTGCCCGGCAGTGGCACTGATCCATTAGACGCCGGGTGTGGTAGTTGGCTGACACAGAAGCCTGGCCAAACGGTGACAACGGAGTCCTCGCAGCACACACTGCAACCAGGAAGCACAGGTATCCCTGCTCAGCAACCCGCCCAGCAGCCCGCTCAGCAGGAGGCACAGGGCCAAGTGGCAGCAGCTGCCGAGCAGCAGCCTGCGGCTGCAGCTGAGGCGGTGGGTCCTTACGGGAGCAGCTGGCAGTGGGGGTCATGGTATTACGATGGAAACACAGGACTGTACTACAAGTACGAGGACGGAAACTGGAAGGTTCATGAGGGTGAAGGATGGGGAGGAGCATTGCCTAATGGAGAAAGTGCGTCTACTGCGATGGCTGTCAGTGGCCAGCCATGGCAGGGAGGCAGTGCAACAAATGCGGCGGGTACGACAGATGGCGGCACTGTTACTCCTGCTGCGGAAGGTGCGACAAAAGAAACTGATGGCTATAGTGAATGGCAATACGACTACGCTCAAGGGAAGTATTATTGTGTCAAAGGTGGGTACAGGATTTACTGGGATGGAGGAGGAGACTCGGCTGCTGCACAGACTGATGGTGCAACTGTTGCTCAGGCAGCGAGTGCTCAGGCAGCGAGTGCGCAGGCAGCTCAAGGTAGCAGTGTAAATGCAGCTTTGACAGCCAAGGGTGACACAGATGCAAAAGCAGTCGCCACCGCCGGAGCCATTTCTGCTGAGAACAAGGGTAATGCCGCTGCTGGTGAGGAGAAGGAAGATAAAGAAGAGTTTGTGGCAGCTGAGCGGCCTTCATCGTGGTAATGCATCTCCTGCATGCAAATGAAACCAGCAGTTTCCGCCCTAGGCAAAAAGAAAAAGTGTGTAAATGTATACCTCCGCAATTTTTGAGGCCTTGGGACTACCGTACCAAAATGGCTGGCGCCGGTAGCCAAAAAGAAAAGAAATCGTGCCAAGGCCGGTTCATCTTATTTTTGGCGCGCAGCATGATTTCAGATCGGTAAAAACAGCCGCGAACGCACTGGTTTAAGCACCCCGACTATAAGAACAATATAATATGCAAAGAGCCGCAAGTCCTGGATGTTGTTCCTTCATCTGCAGGCAGYAYA